TAATGTGGAACTGATAAAAATGGGGTGTTGGGACTGCTGAGTTGAGCGATACTCATCCTACCACCGAGACTGTGTTGCTCCGCAGGGATGCCCGCTAAGTATGGGTACTGACCAGCTGCTGCAGGTCCTGACAGCCATGGCCTGTCTGTGTGGGTAAGCACAGTTTATTGATAGGAAGCAACTGAGAGAACAAACTTTTTAATATCCCTTTAGTGTCCCTTTAATTCCCTTTTGCTATTGAACATTTTTACATAAATAAGTTGTTCATAGTAATTTTCCTTTAATTTCCCCTTTTACTAAGCAATATCGTGTTAATAGTTATCCATAACATTGTGTTAAGATCCCTTTTTGGTATCCCTTTAAACTCCCTTTTTACTAGTTAATATCGTGTTATAAATGCTGTTCGTAGCATTTGTTTTTAAGGCCACACAATAAGGTAGTTATTTTGTATCTTTTTTAGCTTTTGATTCTTTTTGCTAAGTTTATTATTACTATTCTCACTGTAATAAAAGATATTTTGTGTGTTTGAATGTTTCTGGCACTTATTTTTATTCTGGACATGTATCCAAATGAACTGTTACACCAACCTGAACCTCCCCTGGTGTAGCTTGAGGCCATTGCTCCTCAAATTTGTTGCCTGGGAGAAGCAGCCAACCCCCATCTGGCTTCCAGGTAGCTGCAGAGAGCAATGAGGTCTCCCTTAAGCCTCCTTTTCTCCAGGGTAAACAACCCCAGCTCTCTCAGCTGCTCCTTGTGCACCAGACCTTTCATCAGCTCCATTGCCCTTCTCTGGACTCACTCCAGCACCTCAATGTTTTTCTTGTAGTGAGGAGCAATTACTCCACTCAGTTACGTAATAGGCAATTTATATCACAAGTTCATTACATAATTTGCATTTTTTAAAAGCCATCAACAGAATTGCAAGACTAGGATTACTCACTAAGTGATTTTCTGTCTTAGATAACTCAGGGGCTGGGTTGTTCTTAGCAATTTCACAACAAGCAATGATGTGTCAATAGCAGAAGCACTATTGTAAATAAAGGCACTATATAAGCTTACAGCACAGAGAGAGGAAACAAAAAAGTCAGGTAATTGATGACTAATTACCAGACTCAGTGTAATACATGTTATAATTTATTTCTCCCCACCTCACAAAGCAGGAACATTTTCCGAGTTAGATATTTCAATGAGCTGGCCAGTCTGGTGGTTTCCAGACTTGGCTCCGTTCCTAAATTTGTAATACCAAAGCAAAAACTGAAGTTGCATGTAGCTTTCTGTATTATGTAACTCTGTTCCCTGGATTTTAAGAGAGACTGCTGTGAGAACATTTATTTAGTGAATGTTCAACCCTTTAGACTTACTAACCCCAAAACAATTTCCATATGGGGAAACCAAGATTATTTCTCAAAAAGTACAATTCTGTTTAGCCAGAAACTCTGCCAAACAGCATTGTGCTCCTGATAGACCTGCTCATTTTCCCAATGTTCACAAAAGTAGAACTAATTTTAACTTTTAGAGTTGTTAAACTGGACTAGCTCACTCAGAGCTACATCAGCTCTCACACCGAAAAGATGGAGAGTGAGATGTACTACTCTGTGTACCATTACACTGGTACTTGGCTTGTTTCAAGTACCTTTTTCAAAGGGTTTTCACCCTTGGCAGCACATGCACCCTTGGACAGTGTATATAGGAGGCTTTGGCTGGTTGTGGGTTGTGGGCAAAACACTGTTGGAGCAATCAGTGCTGGGCAGAGGAAGGTTGCAGTATTGCCAAGTGGTTTTGAGGGTGAAGATTTTCTGGGCAGCTTTACATGGTGACTGCCTCCTTGGAAGACCACTTTTCTGAGATTCTGGATTGATGATGGCAGCCTATGGCATACACACACTACAGGATTGACTTCCACCTGCTCTTGGAGACCAATGGTTCATTAAGGGGAAGTAGGAAGCAATTTGGCAAACCAGGTGGAGAGCTGGAAGCTACAAACTCATGTGCTCAGACTTGCACTGAGCATGATAGACTTGCCTAAGTCTGGTCCTTCACTCAGTGTTTTTAGGAGAGACTGGTAATTGGCTTAATTTTTATGGCATGGTTAATTTCATCCTGGTGTTACAGTTTGTGAAAGTGGACTGACCTTGTAGAATTCTTCTCCAGAAGAATAAAGTAGCTAAGGAAGGAATTATTTATTATCAGGCTGCTCATACTGGAAGAGAGAAGTTGTAGCTGAAAGTGTTCAAGGCCAGGTTGGATAGGGCTTTGAGCAACCTGAACTTACGTTTTGGGTAGTTGATAAACAAAGAAATGTTTTCCATTCTGCTACTGCTGCCTAGTATGAGCTGCAAGGAGAAAGGAAAAAGGGCTGGCTCCTGCTGACACACAGGCTGTGTCTAGTGCACTGTGTCCACGGGAGAGGCCTCCAGGAGGATGCAGGGAGAGGAGGAAAGCTGCATAATTATGTCTTCACTGTGTGCCACATATGGGCCACATGATGGGAAGAAAGAACCATCAGGTCTATTAGGCTGATGCTTTTTTAGCCTGTGTAATCGGCAGTGTTAGGTTACAGTCGGACTTGATGATCCTAAAGGTCTATTCCAACCTAAACAACTCTGTGATTCTCTGGTCTATGGAAGATGTTCCTGCCCATGGCAGGGGGGTTGGAACTAGATGATCTTTAAGGTCCCTTCCAACCCAAACCACTCTGTGATTCTAAGAGCTGGTCTTTACTCGGCTGTTGTGGATCTCAGTTGTTGTGGATACTAGTGCCAAGATCTATATTTTCTGGTTTTGTACAGGCTGTGGCTGGAATGAAATTAGTTGCCTCCATAGCAGCCTGTACAGGGCTGTGTTCTGGATAAGACTAACAGCACTGGTTACATAGCAGCATTTTGGTTGTTGCTGAGCAGTTTGCCCAGCACCAATGTTTTCTTTTTTGTGCTTCTTTTCACCCATGCACCTGTTGCCAGTGAGTAGGCTGCAGGTGGGCTAGAGGCTGTGAGGGAACACAGGGGGTCACATCTGATCCTGACTGACCACTGAGATATTCCATACCCTGTGGCATTGTGCCGAGCACTAAAAGCTCTGGGAAAAATATGAGAAGGGGGGAACATTGGTGTTTATGGCATTTGTCCTACCAAGTAACTGATGGTGTGTGGAGGGTCTGCCTGCTGATGGGAATAAACTTTATATTTTGCTTTCCATGTGCAGCTTCATTTTCCTACTAAACAGTCTTTATCTCGATCTATGAGTTTTCTCACTTTTGCCCTTCTGATGCTTTCCTCTGTCTTGCTGGGATGGGGGTGAGCAACAGCTAAAACCCCTAGAGTTCCCTGAAAGCAGACTGAAGATAAACCAGTAGTGCAGATGCGGCACTGGGTAATTTGCAAAAGACTTGGAGCCCTGTAGAGATCAGGTTAGCTTTGGAGGCAGGGCTTCTCCTTCCCACAGGCCGGTATGCAAGGTGAGCCTAGGGCCAGCAGTCATCTCTGGGCAGGAAGAGAAGGTACAGAATTGTCAGTACTAAGAGTGGCACTGGATGCACAGCACTGTCATTGCATTGTGTGTCAGGCAAGGTGGACCTGAGAGGAACGAACACAAGCTTCCCCTGAGGCAACAGAGAGGATCCCAAACCATCATCTTGTTTCAGCAGATATCACTGTGCAGTGTAAACCTTCCCTCACTAAAGGCAAAGAAAAGAGGACAACACCCCAAAAATAGTAAGTGGTGTCCCAAAAGAGAGAGAGATAAGGTACCTGAAAAGCACTATGAGTAGCAGTAAGAGCTCTCACAGGACCCCAGAAGGCAGTTGGGAGGAGTGGGAAGACAGCCCACCCACCACAGCTGTATTCACCTTATGAGCAAGGGTCACACCAAGGATGAAAATTGTCCAAACAGTGTCTGTCCACGGACACACCCAGAGCCCAGATGTGCTTGCATGCTCCTATGAGAAAGCAAGTGGTCTCCCAGCCATGCTCTTTTCTGGGAACTAGAGTGCCTGCCAGGAACACCTGTGCTAGGGCCTGTGCTGCAGGGCCCCATCCCATCTCCTGGAATCACAGCTGTGCTCGGAATGCAGCAATGTTGGTGTGCATCCCCATGCCACAGGCACAGGAGCCACTTCTTCTGGCACAAAGATTCAGTAACGCGCTGTTCACTGGTGAGGTCTTACACCAGCTGAGGGAAATCAAAGTGGGCAACAAGTATGTGGTTAGAAACAGCTGGGGCTGCAGTGCTTGCAGCCTCACAGCTCCAAAATTTCCACACCAGGCAGCAGGAAAGGACTGGTGTGTTACAGGGGAATGCAAATATCAATAGATTCAGAACACAAAGGAGAGAGGAGGTAATCTAGGCAAACAGAGAAGCAAAGCGTTACCAAACACACTATTTTTACTGGTTTTTTTCCTAGGGTTTTAAAATATTTGGGAGACTATATCAATTGTAATAGTACAGGATTTAAGTCACAGCAACTCCAGAAATTTGATTCCAGACAGGTGGTTTGGTTTTGCCAAGGACACAAAACAAACAGTGTAAGACGGTTTCTTATACTGAAATTGCACACAAATTTGCAGTGATGTTGAAACACACTACTATGGTGTAGGCAGGGGAATGAGACTCATTCAGTTCCCTGAACTTAATGACATGTTTGAAATGGTCATTTTGTACCAGATGCCTCTGGTACAAAACCCATATGGCTGCAGAGACTGAAAAAGCACATCTGATTAGAGACTGCTGGATATGACTGAGATCAAGGATGGGAGCTGCACTGCAGGTGAGGAAAAGAGGGAGGAAGTAGGCTCCAGCAGGAGGCATCTCTAATGCTGCAGTGAGTTAGCTCTCCCCTTGGACAAACTGCCTCATTCAGCTTTGAGGAGAATACATGAGAACATGTCACGGCCCTGCTGTGTTTAGCACTGTACACCAATCATATCTTCCTTAACCTTCTTAATTTAGTTTGTATGTCACTAAGTTGTGAAGTAAGCTTAAAATATCACAAGTAAGCAGATGTCTTTTCCATGGTTTTACTGACACTGAAAAAGTAGTTCTGTACCAAAATGTACACAATTTAGTAATAATACAAAAAGTTAATTCTGCAAGACAGAACGTCAGTTAAATCCACCAAAATGAACACTGAACCACCATTTATTGCCAGAACAGTGTTACTTTAAATAAGATCACTGAATGAACAAAAAACCAAAATATTTCCAGCTTTCCTTAAATAAAAATAGTAGCTATTAGCAACAAAATGCAGGAAGATAAACATTCATGGTATTTAATATTTACATGCCATCATAACATATCTAGCATGTAGTATGGCTTCATGCCTGCACATCAGCTATATGAGCTCATTACAATGGATATTAATGTGTTGATTTGACAAAGCAACCCATGATTTACATCAAATTTGCACATTAGAAGAGCACCTCTGCTAGTCACCCCTTTAGGAATGATGCTGCAGGAAACCCAGTCCAGTCTACTGATTCACTCCACAAAAACTTAAAAAAAAAAAGCCCAAACAAACAAACAAAAAAATTAAAAAAAAAAATAATCAAGCATATCAATAATTTTCCTTCTGTGATTAACTAGGCAGGGCAATGCATTTAGGAATATTCCCAAAGATGAATCAAACCAGAATAAACCTGGATTTTCTTTATTACAGTAAGAACACCTGAGACTGCTTCACTGGTCCAAGTACAGTATTTTATTAAAAAACCTGCTTGTTACATTAACATGTCATTTCACTGAATTTCCTTAATTAGTAATTTTCATTGAAAAAAGGGTAAGGTTTCCTCTTAAAATAAATACTCCCCCCTTAAAAATAAAGTTTAAAAGGGAATTGAAACATAATAATTAAAAAAAAAAAACTACTTTTTTTTTTTAAGAACAGTGTGCTTTTCTGGCTTCATTTTACTTCAGCTTAAACAGTGGATACACACCTATTCCTGGAAAATAGGTGACACTGTATAAAAAAAATCCCCAACATCAGGTACACAATGTGTTTGTATATTCCTAAAGAGACTTCTAAACTAAGTGTAAACATCTGGTTTTGACGCGTTTGAATGCACTCCTATCAAACAAAGTTTGAGAAACAGCATTTAATTAAGTGCCTGTCTTGTCTGACAGGTTTTTGAGTTACCAGTTTCATTTTTCTACCTGAACAAAGCAACAAAACAGTTAAGACACTGTTTTTTCCTACTTCAGTACAAATTATATTTAACAGTTCAGAACTTTACAGATCACAAGTTTTACAGAAAGGAATAACCTAAATTGTGGAGTTAAAATATTGAACACTGCTTAGCTGAAGCAGCAGCAAATTAAGTACTATATATATAGACAGATTTCTATAAAACTAGTATCATTCAATTAAACTGATAGCCTAAAACCTGGTTTACATGTGAACAAAACTAAAACTAGGAGTTCATAAAAAGTGATGAGGTTTGCCATCACTTAAAAAAACATGCTTGTCTAACCAGAAAATAAAATGGCAAGGGCCTGTGCATTAAAGCCAAGTTTACACCAACTTTTTTTGTTTTGTTGTTTTAAACACCCAAAGTACATAACATCACTTTGCAGCTTAATAAGTACCAGGACCTTGGTAAGCAAAATAATCTCAACCTGTAAAAACCTAAGACTGACCCTTTAAAAAATGATGTGTAAGATTGAGAATTCCAAAGCCATGTTCAAGACATGTGACAGAATTTCACTCATGAAGTCATCACTAGCCACTGAAGAAGGTCAAAGGTGTAAACAGTCTCACGTAAGTCTGATGATCTCTTAGTTTATCTTACACAGACATTATTGAGTTGAAGGCAATCTTCATTCTAAACTTCACAGATTTTGGTTTGTTTTTTTTTTTTCCCCTGTGCTCCTTGTCAGTTACTAGAAAAATTCTTCATTTCAAAGCCATTTTAAAGTATTCAAGCAGCCTTCTTAGTGCAGGTTCCTTTAAGATCCTGTAGATTTATTTTTGACCTAATAAAACAGTAAGATAACTAATTAGATAGTTAAAATGTTACATTGCTCTTATGTGTTGCAGTTATTCACGTAATCATCACTGAATCTCATGTACTTATGAGAAGGGAAAAACAGCACAAAATTCAAGAATTTTTCTATTTTTTACCTGTTGTGGATCATGTGGCTTTTGACTAGATGCCCAGCTGCCAGAGCTGCCATTAGTGATAATTCCCCTGCCATCACTGTAGCACAGACAATTTTAGCAAGCTGACGGGCATTTTCACCAGGGTTATCTTGGCTGGCACCTTGAACCCCTAACATCTGCGGAGAAATGCAGGCAATATTATGCTGTCAATTTATGCTAAATTTAGTATGAGCTTCCAAATTACTAGCTTTAAGTCCCTCTGATGTTATGTCTAAGCTTTAGAACTGGCTATATGAAAACAATTCATTAGACTATTCTGAAATTTTCATAGAAAATACAGCAAGTATCAAGGGGCCCCATTCCTGCAACATTACTTGGACACCACATGAAAGTGAGCTTTAATTGAAGAAGCTATTGGACACCACATGAAAGTGAGCTTTAACTGAAGAAGCTATGTTGATTTGAGCTTTCTGAATTTTACCTGCAAACAGGCCTGCTGTGGGAGCAAGTTGGTGCCTCCGCCAACAGTCCCTATTTCTATGGAAGGCATCGTGCAGCTGATGTACAGGTCTTCGTTGGTGGAACCAGTGCGCTCCATCAGAGTGATGCAGTTAGAGCTGCCCACATTCTGTGCAGCATCCTTTGGATCAGGAAGGAGAAACAAAACAAATTCGAGATGCTCGAGTAAGTGTTTGATTGAGAATTACTGAACTAAGGAAAATCTGAGCTGGTGTAAAACAAACCTACCTGACCACAGGCAATGTAGATGGCTGTCACAATGTTTGCTGCATGTGCATTGTAGCCACCTATGCTTCCAGCCATCGCAGACCCCACCAGATTTTTGTTTATATTGACTTCAACTAGAGCTTCTGTAGTTGTTTTCAATACCTAGACAAAGAGATAGATACATTTTGACTACCCCATTCCTTAAGCAGGAGTAGAAATACTCTATTTATGGTTAATAAGCCCTCACCCCTTGTTTGCTTCTATATGGAATCTGACTCAATCATTATCCTACCTTTTATTTTTGTTCCAAAGGAGACTTTCAAATGCAGGATGTTCCAGTAACAATGGAAAAGTCAGTGCTAAGGGTTTGGACTTGCATAGGCCTTTGAGAAAAGCTCATAGCTATCTACTCTATTTCAAATTCTCATTTATATTCAGAATAAAACAAACAAAATGAACTTGGCAGAAATATCCCATTAATTCACCATGACACAATAGCAACATTCCTGTCAAGTTGCTCCAGACTCTCAGCTCTTCCCAATTTTGCTTTGCGTTAAGACTATGGAGCCAAACTCAAGAGTTTCAACAGAAAACACCATGATACATGGGCAAATAAACATTATGCACAGTAATATAAAATTAAGTGGCACATTTACACTATACTGATTGTATTCTGAAACCTTAAAGTAAGAGATTTACACTGAATTTAATACAAAAGTGACCAAAGACAGTCAAAAGAGAGAGTGTTGTGAGCAAAATTTAAGATATTCCTGTATAACAGTGGTAACACAGACCTGCACTAAGTCTGCAACACTGACAAAAAAACCCAACACTTACATACTGGAGTTCAATGTCAGTAAATGTAATGATGTACAGGTCTGGGGGTCGAGGAAAAACTTCCCAAATTTACCTAAAACTATCCAGGCCCATTACAAAAGTTTTGCAGTTTTGCAAAATGTATGTATTTTTATAAACGAGAGAGCAGACACTTACTTCTCTAACAACCTTGGCTGGAATGACTGCTTCACAGACAACAGACTTCCCTCTTCCTTCTATCCAGTTTATAGCAGCCGGTTTTTTGTCTGTACAATAGTTACCACTAATAGCTATAACCTGAAGGTCAGGAAATTCTTCATTCAGCCTTGCCAGTGCTTTTTCAGTACCCTGTTAGGAGCAAAACAGGTAGTAGGCTAGGTTTATCGTTATGGTTGCAAAATAAGCTACCAGGGACAGTGGAACAGTAAGATTAGATTAAGTCTAATCAGATAATCAGTTACAGTGGAAAAAAAGAACATAATTTCACAAAGAAATATTAAATAGGACAGAAAAAAATCCAAACTATTTTGACTTTTCTTTAACAACTTTGGGAATTATATGGGGAATAACTGGTTCTTCCCAATATATATGGACTCCCTGGATATATTCTAGGTGCATGGGCATATGGTACCATACTGAAGATACAACATGAACCCAGTGAAACACTACAGGCATGAAATTAATTAACTTTGGATAGTGGAAAGAGCTTCCCTATGGGTAATCAGTGGGAAATCTGCTACATTAGGACTTGTTTACGACCAGATCCACTTTAGTAATGATTATGATTGCTATTCCATATAAAATGTAAGTCTAAGACTATTAATTTCAAACAGCTCTAGGCATCCCAACGATCCATGGACCATGTTTTTCCATGTTTGCATAAAAAAACTCCAACCAAACAAAACTAGAGAACATCCCTCTGCCGCTATTCACCACACTCCTAAATCCTGTACTTAGAATGAAGTGATAAACACAGTAACAGACGAATTACTGCTAGATAAAATCTTTGGCTCAAAGCAACAGAGAAACCAACTTAACTTCCCTATATCAAAAATACTTCCTTTACATAATTGAAAAAAAAAATTTAGACACAAAGTTACTTTTTTCTTTCATCATTTTCATCCTATTCTTGTTTACACTTGACAAACACTGTCATTATTTCACAGGACTGCAAACAGCATTATGTCTTGTCTGTCTTTCAGAAATCAGTCACAGATTAATAGGCTATCTTTACTTTTAAAAGAAATACACATTTATTAAAAATACTTAAGAGAATTGGTCCTTACTTTTGAAATCATATTCATTCCCATTGCATCCCCTGTTCCAGACTGAAAGCGGATATAAAGGTTACGACCAGCCAAACTGATGAGAAGTTTTTGCAGGCGGGCAAACCTGCAAGAAAATTTAACTATTACCTATAATCCTCAAGGAAAAAGATAAGTTTTAAGTGGCAAAATGACAGTAAATCATTGCAATACAGAATCACTGAATTATTGATGTTGGAAAAGACCTTTAAGGTCAACAAGTCCAGGCTCTGACAGAGCACTACCTTGTCAACTCAACCCACAGGACCAAGTGCCACATCCAGTTGCTTCTTTAACACCTCCAGTGATGGTGTTTTCTCAGGTAAATACTATAAAAACATTCACTGTAAAAGTGTTCTCTGCCTTTTTATGTTTTCTAACACTGGACTTCATGAAATGAAGTAATCTGAGGTGTTGACCAATCCAATTCATTTGTACTCCTTAAAACATCTGTCTACCAGTTATAAACTAACAACGAGGCCTTCAGAAATTCTGCTGTCAGTTTTACTGCAAGGCAAAAGGCATACTTATCTTCAACAGAGTAAGCCCTAAAAGTCACACAAAACCCAGGAAATACTGCATTTAAAAAGCAGCATGAGTTCGTTCTGGCCGAAATACAGTGTCAGGCCTGTCATATACTTGCCTGACACTTTCAAGAAACAAAACAGGTAAGGAAATCTCTCTCTGAATCTTCCTAAAGCAAGCAGGTAATCATAAGCCTTAGAAAAAACTCCAGGGCTTAAAACAGACTTATTCTTAGTACTGGTTTACATTTTTTAGCATTTCATTTCTAGCATTAGTTTTTCCTGTATTCTCTGGAACCTCATAGATTAGTTATCGATATTAGTAATATCATCTGAAAGGCTAAATACCAAACTTTGAGGGTTTTTTTGCAAAGTAACTACTAAATATCAAAACAAGCTTATGCAAAGTTTTTTTAAATGATTAGACAAATTAATATTCTACTAAGTGTTACACAAGTGTGAATGCATTTTTTGCTAAAATATAGGTGTTCACCATTATCATTGAATGATGTTTATTGATTGCAACTTTGGTATGTAGGCAGAGTGACTTTTGTTCTCTTAGATACATACTACACAGGATAGTAAAAATGAAGATGTAATTTCCTGTATTGCAGAACTCAGAAAAAAAAAACTGATTAGGAGTTTTCTACCATTCACAGAAGTCTTATGTTGGGCAATGAAGCTGGAATAGCCATTGTACTAACCTACTTGTGCTGTCAAAAGCTTCCTTCATTATTTTAAAGCCTTCAGGACTCTCAAGCCAAACCTTCACCTCTGCAGCCTCGCAGGCAGTGGGCAGCCTTACAACAGGTCCTCGAGTCATCCCATCTGCAAGAATGCGGCTACTTGCTCCTCCACCAAGCTAAAAACCAAAGCAGAAGGGCAACACAGTAGGATTACTGAAATTTTGTGTTTTAGGAAGTCAAAAACATGGGTTATATAACCCCAAGAACATTTCATAACATAGGAAGTTTTTCTAGTCAAACAATACTTACACATATTGCTCTACATCCTCTGTTTGTGCTTGCTACAAGACATCCTTCTGTTGTTGCCATTGGCACCTGAAACTCTTTGTTATCCAAAAACAGTGGTCCTGCTACACCTACAGGAATAGGCATATATCCAATCACGTTTTCACAGCAAGCTCCCATAACCTTAAAAAACCACACAAAACAATCATTAAGGTTACACTGCAGTGGTACAGTACAGCATGCCACATACTATGCCTGACATATGTACCTGACTACAACAACGCATCTTAGTAAAAAAACCACAAACCTACCCATAAAGTAACTAATTCCCACCTCAAGAACTTAACAGCTACAGCTGTCAACAGCTAATACTATTCAAGTGTAGGTAGATGTACAGAATTTTATAGAGTCTTAAATGTTATTAAAAAAACCCTTGTATTGTTAAATTAATTTTAAATATTCTTCAGTTTTAACTTGAGCTCAAAGTAGTATTATTCAGCTGAATTGTAGCTCAGTATTAGTAGAATTCTGCATTTCTGAGATAAAGCAGCTGCATACTTCGATAGGAAATTTTTTTTGGATAACCTGCAAAACTTGCCCTCGCCCACCTAGAAACATCAAGAGCAACAAAAGTAAGTTTATGTTTGCCTTTTATTTTTCCTTCTACATCAGTTTTGACCAAGGTCATTGTTAATTCACGTGCATCACTGCGTATTTATTTCACAGAATCGCAGACTATGGTTTGAATTGGAAGGGACCACAAAGACCATCCAGCTCTAACCCCTCCTGGGACACCTTCCACTAGACTAGGTTACTCAGAGCCCCACCCAACCTGGTCTTGAACACCTCCAGGGATGGGGAGTCCACAACCTCTCTGGGCAACCTAGTCCAGTGTCTAGCACTCTCACAATAAAGAATTTCTTTCTAATACCCTATACCCTCCTTCAGCTTAAGGTCCCTTGTCCTGTCACTACATGCTCTTGTGAAAAGTCCCTCTCCAGCTATCTTGTAGGTAGGCCCCCTTCATACTGGGAGGCGTTATAAGGTCATCCTAAAGCCTTCTCTTTTTCAGGATCAACAACCCCAACTCTCTCAGCCTGTCCTCTCAGAAGAGGTGTTCCAGCTCGCTGATCAACTTGGTGGCTTTCCTCCGGACTTGTTCATGTGTTTGGAAAATAGTTTTACAATGAGTTTTGCTTGTCTACCTTTTACTTACCAAAGAATAATTATAATTCCTATAAGGAAGATATTGCAAAGACGAAGGTTCAGGGAGTTTCTTGGATAACATCTGTCTGCGAATGGACACACCTCGCTCCTGAGTTTCCATCAGAGTTTCCAGTTTGTATGCAGGAATATGCTTAGCATTAACTAAGCTGATAACCTCAGCATCGGTTAGAAATTTTGCTCCTTCCTGGAAATATAAAAGAAGGAGAGAGAAAATATAGATTCTCTTGGTGAAAATCCTTTTTAATGTTTCCAAACAAAAAAGAGTAACAACTTTCCTTTGATATTATCTGAATACAACTACAGGAGTCAACTGCCAACATCAGGTTTTACAGTAGGCCAGGATGTGAACAAAAACTTTTATGATCAGACACCCACCTACACATGTACATGAGGAAGCTTCAATGAATGACAATCCCTCCTCCCTCCCATCTCAACTGACTTAACGTGAAATAATGCACTAAAGGTTTTGTTTTAGTTGTGACTCCCATGCACTCCCAAGTTATTAATGTAATGTAATTTTCTGGAGAATGACACTACAACCAGTGGGAACACGTAAAAGCTGCAAAATGAACTCTTAAGAATTCTAGAGAAGAAATTTATTTTGCCATACCTGTGCATTTCCAAGTATACGAACACATTCCTCAATAGAACGTGGCTCTTTAGGTAACTCAATTTCTTCCTCTTTTTCATTAGCAAGTGAAGAAGTTTCCACAGGGCTGCAACTGCCAACTACAAATGTAGCCTTGGATGATGACTCTAATACAGGTTTTATGACTTCAGCTGCACAAAGACAATTAAAAGGAACTCTGGTTTAGAAAATACTTAAGTTTTGGTACTAAATACAACATGTTACACCAGATTTCACTATTTGTTCATAATATTTATGAATAGGTTCAGACTTCAAAATTATAAGAATTACCTACCATTTGCATCTTTGGGAATGAAAGCTTCTTCCACTGTGTTAGATTTCTGATTGTTTTTCAGAAGTATAGATTGCTTCCTGCAACAATTCTCAGGGACCTTTTTCTGGACCATCACAGGAGATGTTATGGGATTCTTCAGTGAGAGGGTAGATTCAGTCTCTGCTTGCTCAAAGAAAATGTATTTGACGGCAAGGAGAAGGGCTAATCCAAGAGTGATTACTTGCTCAATATCCATACTGGCCATTCTAAAAGAGACAAATCAGAAAGTAAATACACAGTATATACAGTTCATGTTTTATAACAGCATTCTGACATACAAAGAGTAATTATTTCACCATAATTTACAGCTACAGAAATCCCAGTCAAAAGATATTTTCTACCAGGACATCTAAGTACACTAGGTTAGGCTAGAGAAATAATTCTTCATATTATTAACAACACAAAGATTTTCAGATGTCATTAAAGAGTAACCTAAATCTGGCTAAAAAGCAGTCCCAGTAAGAAAATTACTGTAAAAGATGCAGTAACAGCTACATCAAATTGATGTAACACCTATCCCCTAATGACAGGATAGTTTCATTTATCATCCTCTACCAATAATGACTACTGTGACGCAAGATGAACTGCTAAGAGGGGAAAAAAATCCCACCTAAAACAGAGAGTTCTGAGTTTTCAGAAGTAACATGAAATCACACATGCCACTAACTTGAGCTGAGCTGAAGGAAAAGCCACAGTGGCATGGCTTTTGCACTTTTTGCACTTAAGTGTGAATGGTCAGAAGCTCTGCATAAATAATTACCCTAGTGCAGTTAAAAAATTTATTTTCTAGTGTACTCTGAAAACTATCAGGGCTAGTGGAAAAGAGAACACTTTGATGCATACAGGACAGCTGGTTCAATCATATTCTTGACTACTTCAAAGAGATTGGACAAATGGCATATTATTGAAGTATTTCCTCTGAAATGTCATCTCTAGTTCCAGGAAGTCCTACAGTGGTCAGATCTGTGAGTCTTTTAAGTGTTGTGCTCTAGAACAATAAGCTTGGCAGTATTAGAGGATACACCCCACCCAAGGAAACACACTCTGTGAAGTCACCCACCGAGAAAGGTAGAACTGCCACAGGGAAACATTAGGTTCAATTCTCTTTGGTGCATTCTCATCCAATCCCACTGAATTTTCTACAGTACTGTTTTGAGCAGCTGGTTCCGCTATCCAGCGACTGTGGGCATGAACAAGAACCAAACCCAGCGACTGTATCAAAAACAAAAAACAAATATTAAATTTTCAACTTTAACTTGGTATCTGGCCTACTAAGAGTAAATATTGTCCTTTCTTTGTTTGGGTTTTTTTGTGCTTTTTTTTCCCCCCATGCCTCAAAAGTCTAAAGCTAACAGCTGATTTTCAACACCTCTCACTAACACCCTTTTTGGTCTACGGTAACACTGTTGTACAGTAGCTTTGGATGTGTCCCACCCACATTCTTCCCCTTGCTCAAGAAATAAGCATAGGAAGGTGAGGATACTGGAGGGGTAAGAGGGAGGGAACGGTACACATAAAAAGCCCCAAGTGTTTGGCACAGAAACGGCATAGGCAGGAAGATGATAGGGTTACATACAAGAGAAGTTATTAAAATCTACCACTGTAAATTGAACTAATGAGATGCAGAATACAAGTCTGTGAGAAACAAAAGCTTGATTCATTCCATCAGAACACCTCACTGATTGCATAACCACAGGTGCAAAAGAGCCACAAACCATAATCATTTTGACCCTCTGTGTTACAGGATTTGGTTTATTCTCTTCTTCTTCCAGAACACGAGCAAAATGGCTGAGCTGCCATATAGGGCGCCCTTCACGACTCTCTCTCGAAAGCTGCAAAATATAACATAATTTAAAAATGGTCATGTATAGTACGTATTAGAAGAACCAACAAATAAGCTTCAGCACTGCACTTTTATTTGATCGTTGAGAAATTACCAACAAAAGAGTCAGACTACAGTCTACTGTCCAAACAATGTTAAGACTTTCAACAGTGAAAAATGCTGAACAGACAATAATTTACACTGTAATTTGTTTACTCTGTTTTAGATCAGAACTCCTACTATTGAGTGTGACTCATTTACAGTGACATTTACAAGTTACTGTCACTAGTTCACCAGTGAAGGAAGACAAACATGTCATGTAACTGTGACGAAATATATAGCCTATAAGTAGCAAAGGGGCTGAATACTAAGCTTGATGTTGTCTTTAAGTTGGTCTTACCTCCAATACCAAGGACACACAAGCTGGAAAGAAGGTCATGAAGACAAAGTAGTTGGCAAGAACAGACATACAGCCAAAGCAGCACATAATTTCAAGCTGCCGCACACCTAAATAAAAAGACATTTTTTACATTTGAATATGCAATGGGCTATATTGAAGAAGTGCTGCAGAACTAAGCAAGAAATCACTAAACTGACATTGCAGATTACAGAAGGCATTGTCTAGATTAATGAAAAACAAGCATATTTAGCCCTAGTTATTGTGCACTGGCTTATTCTAAGCACAATATATATTTATGTATTGACAGAAAACTTTATTTTAATATGCCATTCTAAATGTATACAAATAAATTTCACCAAGATTTTAAAGCTTCACATTAAAAGCTTGAAACTCCTTACTTACCTAAGCAAAGAACAAGTAGCCAACATTATGTATTTAAATCTTTTCTGAAAGATGGCCAATTAAGTGTTCAGGCAATAAGAAACAGTATATATGCTGCCTACTCTTCAATAAGTCTGGTATCCAGAAAAAGACAGCCATGCTGCACATGCATTACCGAACTGCCTTAGTAAAGATGAAAGAGCTAACAGTATAAAATGAACTATACACAACATCAAAATGGGTTTTTTCCCTAAGATGTAAACAAGAGAAAAACTTATTAACACACGATACTGTGAAAGATCCAAAAGTTGCAGAGCAAGTGCTTTGCAAGATATCTTTAAAGTATGTGAAACAGGTGGGAAAAAAAACCAAACCAAGCCACATCAAAAACAACATATAAAAATAAACATGCAAGCAAAACCTCACTTTAGTCTTAACTATGGAACCTCAATTTATTTTACAAAGAATTTAGTTATTTTCATGTGAAAGTCCTTTGCTTACTACATTTAACTATTCTCTTTTTAAGAGAAAACCAACTGCTACTGCACACAGAACTGATGAAGATCATAGTGTGCATGTGCTGCCCAGTATGCCAACTATATCCTGGGCTGCATCAAAACAGCACAGCCAGGAGGCTGAGGGAAGGGATTCTGTCCCTCTACTCCAGTCTCCTAAGACCCCATCTGGAGTGCTGCGCCCAGCTCTGCTGCCCCCACCATGACAAGGACATGGACCTGCTGGGACAGCCCAGAGAAGAGACACTAAGATGTTAACAGGAGTGATGGGAACAACAGGAAGATATTAATTTTATGAAAGTAGCTGCACTGAAGTCCATTCCTACTGCACCATCGTCAAGGAAAGCCATTATCTGTATTTCAAACTTTGGTTTAACACATACATATTATTCATACTAGCAAGAAACTAGTAAAACAGGCTAATTCGGAATGTAAATAAGGAGATTAGGTCACTCCACTCTCATGGGTAACATCTATGATGTAAAACTCTCAATATCTCAACGTCTCTCAAATAGTCTTTTTTAACTGAAAATATTTGAACTTTTAGACTATATGGCTCACCTGACATGGTACCAACACCGATTACAAGACACTCCACAAGTGCATCCAGTGTAAATGTAGGGCCTAAAATTGCCATCCCCCGTGAAATATTTTCTCTTACTTCATCCTAGAAAGAAAAATTTCTGTCCATTAACATGAAAACAAAAAGCAAATTAAGTTTATGACATAAAGTGATTAGTAAACTGAGTAGTATTATGGTGATAAAGTCTTGTAAAACATATATTGAAAAATGAACTCCTATGAGAAAGCATATAGAAAATGTATTCTATTTCTTCTAATTTAACATACTTCGACAGTTTTTAGTCACAGAAGGTTATCGAATTTTAATTAATTTGTCTACCTTTGTCCATCAGTGTTATAGGAGCTTAGAATACTGATGAGGCAGAGACTCTACACTAAATTCAGAACAAGATTTCTACGTTTTAAGACACGAAGAAGCCACTTGTGTCAAGGCATTTAAAAATTTCTTGCAACCACATATCTGTACCCTAACTACTATTACTTTATTATTTTATTATTTAACTCTCTAGACTCAGTTGATAGAAAAGAGCACACAAAAACCACTAAAACTTTGCCGGGGGGAAAGGGATTTCCTCCAGCAGGCAGGCATGGCAAACTCTAGAGTTTGCTGCTGTTTTTCCAGTGGTGTTGTTTTTGGGGTGAGAAGGGGAGAAAACTGTAGGAAAAACATATTTGTGAAATATTTTCTTGAAAATCAGTAAAAAGTTCTGTACTTGCAATTATAATCAAATAATACAGAACACGCTATAACAATATTACATATATAGAAAATGTGCAGCATAATATACACGACATTAAAATATAATAGACAATATTTTGTCACAATTAGTATGCTCAAAGACCACATACAGTATTTTGTTAGCATAAATTAGTTGCAAGAAATATACTTCAGAACTTAAGAGTATTAGCAAAAAAACATTACTAGGTATGACGAGCAAAGTGTCCTGTCAATCCCTCCTATTGTGCTGCATTAAATGCACTAGAACATGACTATTCCTGTCTGCACATATGCTCCATCTGCTAATATTTGGTCTAGAAATATGCTTTTTCCAGTAGAAGCACTGTAAAATTAGATGTCTCTTTATCTACTGTTCCTGAGCCCTAAAAATTAACTTTTTTATATCAGTAACTGTTTTAGGGAAAACTTTGGCCTAGGAACATTAGCCTCCTTAGAAGAGCTATAAGCACTGCAGGTTTCAAGTTCTGATTTTATAAAGTCACACTCATACTTTTAACTTAGTGCATGTGACTGTGCACACTAATTTAAACAGCGTTACTACTCACTTGAACACTGATCTGGTTGGAAGACAAGAGAACACAGAATCTGGATAAAATCTGATCCTTTTGACATTTTATATATCACCAAGACAGTATTCACCTATATGTCTCTCCACCTGGATTATTCATATATAATTATGAAATGGTTTGGCTTGGAAGGGACCCTCAAGATCATCTAGTTCTAACCCCCAGCCATGGGATAATGTTCAGTTTAGAAAATTAAACTTAAAATCTCCATCGCAAAACAAAAAAAGCCCCAACAAAGTAAAACACCAACCAACAAACAAAGCCCTCAAGAAGAACCCCCCTGACCTGTGAGTTGGAACTGAGAGCAAATTTGGCTAATGCACTTGCTCTTGACAAATCAATCAGGAGCAGGAAGAATGGTAAAGCTTCACTGAAAAAAAAAAAGAGGCATATGTTAAACTTCAAGGTTTATTGTACAGGAAAAAATAGCAAGCAAGAAATCAATAATAATAATTCATTACTTACTTTAAACCTGTCAATTCTTTATCCAAGAAGTGAATTACCACTGTACTAAAAACAAAACTTGAGAAGATTGTAAAGAGGCCAGCGATACCTTTAAAAAACAAGAGAACAGGAAATTTTTGGTGTACAGAGAGAGAGAGAGAGAGAGGAGGAGGGAAAAAAAAGGGAAAAAAAGAAAAACCACATCTTTAGATCAATAATAACAAATGCATGAGAATTCTTGTCTCTCAGAGTGTATTAACAGCAGTCAAAATACAAACTGAAGCACATCTTGTTTTCATAGATATTTAAAACTCAAATTTGTACTGCATTCAAAGACTCAGAAATAAAAGCCATAAATCTTCTCAATTTATTTCAAGCAAAATTAAAATTGGCTTAAACAGCTCTATAACTTTAAGTGATTCACACAACAGTTATTTTAAGAATTAAATTTCCAGTGTTTATATAATCTTACAACCTTTCATTTAAAAAAAAGCACTTTGATAAACGTAAAACATGTCTTCTGCTATGTAACAAACAATTAAAATAATGCTTTCTTGAACATAAGGATTAAAGTGTTAATATTTGTTACCAATTTATGTAAAAAAACCCCACCAACAATTAAAATGCATACAGCAAATATAGAAGTCAGACACAGTACCTAAAATGTATTTTGATCCAAGCTGCCTTAGGTTCTGAAACTGGAAATAGATATAAAGGATTGCTATACAGCGTGTGATTGTCAGGATGATGATGTCACTGCTCAGAACATCCTGTTTGAAATACAAAGAAATTTAGTTAGCTTTTACAGCAAGAAGTAACTTTTTAAGTTTCAGTAATAAAAGATTCCATTGTGAAGCTGCACTAAAAATGAAGCTTCAGAATAACAGAAGTATCACTGATAGTCTTGCCTTAAAAAACTAAAATATGAAAATCCTTGTTCACTAGACACTGTGCAGATGGATGTTAGGTTTAACGAAACACGTCTTTACTGCATCACTGTTTGCATACCACTTTAATATCCACAATTAAAAAATAAGGCAATAAAGAAGTTTCTGCATAGATAATTTACTCCTAATACATCACACACTCATCTTATTCTACAGAAAACCCTGGATCTACTGATTAACACCAAGTACAATAAAATTAATTCAAATACTTACTTCTTCAAGTTTGGGGCACTCATAATTCCAGCCACAGATCTTATCGTTCCCAGTGAACATCTTCATAGACATCATACAGATGGTAAGAGTCACTGTTCCCACAATGACTTCCCATGGATGAGAGGCTACAAAAAGGCCATGCATTCGAAATAGCCTGGACAACATTTTCAAGACTGTTCCTCTATACTTAGCAATCCTGTAACAAAGGAATATTTTGTATGTTAGCAAGTCTGACATTGAGTGAAAAGACAGAAATCTACACATTCCTGCAAGTCATCTTCCAGGGAAAAAAAAGCAAAACAGACGAGTGAGGAAAGTAATCTTCACCTTTCAACCTTCCATGTAAAACACATCTATTTCTAAGATTCCAAAATATAATACAATCTGCTCCTGCCTTCTCAACCTGTTTTTAATACAAATCTGCCCTGTTTCTTCAAGGTCTTGCTGGTAAGTCCTCACTACTCTCACATCTCTCAGTATCACAAAATTCTGACACACCTTTCACTTAACTTCTTGGTTTTATCATCTGTATAAGCACTCACCAAATTCTGTTGCTTCTTTGTATTCATTCTTCCTATCAAAAGTATTGCTGAACCATAAAAATTACCAATTAACCATTACTGGTAATGCTCAACAGCAAGAACTGCAATGTTATCTCTATGGCTGCATTTTCTCTACTTTCTGATCAATATTATTCTGTGACACAAATTAATTACATTCAAAAAAGTGCTCCTTCTTCATCTCAAGCATGCAAGTCCTCACATAAAGTATTCTGTGACAGTTATCTTCTACCCATAACTAATTCCCAGGTTATTGGTACATATCATCATCCCTTTGCTTCCAACAAATAACAAACATTTGCCAAAAATTCTCACATCTGTCTTTCACAGAACTAAAAACATGGACATTCTTCACATCCTTCAGACCCCATCCTAGTCTATTTGCTGTGTGTTGTACCTTTACATAAGTTTATCAAGGAAACAAAATGTAGTAACATTCTCTCTTAATGCATTAATAGCTGGAGTTTCCTTTTCTCATTACAACACAAAAACAACACCTTACAAAACAGCATTATGAAGTTAAAAAAATGCTTAATAGTAGCCTGGTTAACAGAGACAATCTATAATTCAGTATTTACATGTACCAACTTCGCACTGTAAAGATTTCCATAGAAGACTGAGAGCTGTACACACTGCCACTTCAAAGTGGATTAAAAAAAATCCCTTTGCATTGCTTTAAAAGTAACAATACATCCATTGGGCTTCTGGTATTATTTATTTTGCTCAGACATCAAAAATGAAGCTGCCATTCAATGAAGAAAATAACAAGGCAAAACTATCTGATGAAGTGTTCCTGAAGATACCAGAATCATCTTGGTTTCCTACCAGCGCTGATCTCAATCACATGAGCACCAACAGGACTGATCTATTTCTCTTTATCCTTCCATGGGGAAGGTGTGGACAGACGTTTGTGCTTCATGGAACCAAGTGCAGAAAACGATTGAGAGGGCTGCCTTCTTTATGAACAAATTATTTCATTTCCTGACAGAAAGCTTTTTAAGAATAAAATTAAAAACCAAAAGCAGACATCTCCTTTATAAAGTAGTTAACCCTTCTTTTTCTCTCTATAGTATAACCTACATTCTGTTTTGTAAATTTATGTTGCCACCAAGCTGTACCAAAGTGGTATCATTTTTCCTCAACAGAATGGAAGGTATTTTTTAATTAGAAAAACATTACCAGAGAAATATCTCAGTGCTGAATATTTCAAACCAACACAAAACATAGGAAAGGCAAAACAACATTCTTTGAAAATACAAATACTTTTGAATATCACACTGTTTCAGGAAAATCAGAACTAGTAGTTACTACATGACTTTTACAGAGTCGTACTAGTAGTACAGCTAATACAACTAATTCTGAGAGTTGGAATGATTATCTAGCCATGAAAAAAATAAATAACCTAGAAGGGCTAGAAAGATTTCAAAATCTTTTTTCAGAAATTGTCACATTTCTACACAAAAACAGTAAAATGGCTTCACATAAATCAATTAGAGGAAAAAAGTGCATAAATCAATTTATGAAAATAATTATCCATAATATCTTAGTTTTTTTATTAACTGCTGCTATGAAATAGAGGATGCCTCATGGCTGATCTTGGGGTTAACAGAATGATACCAACTCCTAACCTAAAAGTATTCTTTAAAGCTTTCATGTTAGTTTAACCTGCCTGAAGCACATGGTGGTTTTTGCTATGCAGTTGACTTTTCTTGAAAATATTCATGATTAAACACACTGATTCTGCATTACAGTGGTGTAAAAAAAAAAAGTCAGTGCATAACATGAGCTCATATTTCTGTTTGAAATATTTATACAGTTACACTGACTCACAGCTTGAAATTAGCAAGACATAACGTTAAATATAAAGCCAAAAGTTAACACTGAAGTAATTCTGCTAAGTTTCAAAATGGTGGTACAAAAAGGGTGCTTTATAAATCCCGCTTGCCTTTGTTTTCGACCTGGGAAATCAAAACAGAACACAAAATACAAACAAAACCCAGCTGCAACTCCTCCAAACCAGTGTAAAAAGCAAACTAGATCAGTCGTATGGAACGCTTCATAGCAATTACCTATCACGTAACTGTACGACTAGTGTGTTAAATACCCAAGGTTTGTCACCCAGCTCTAAGCTCAGAGCAGTCCTCTGCAACACCATCAATGAGATCAGCACAAATTTCCCGTCTGCTGCGGGCTGACTCAGCAACAGCTACGGGAACCCAGCGGCAAAAGCAGCCGAACGAGAATTTGTGCGGAGCTCATCTGAACCGCAGACACAGGGCACAGACCCTGCACCGCTGCCCGGGACCGCTTTCGGCGTTCCCAGCGGGGAAAGGCAGCCCCTCAGAGGCCCAGAGCTGCAGCTACCGAGCGAGAGTTGGAGGGGCTCAGCTCCGCAGCCCGCGGACGCCAAGGCGGCCCCGAGACCCCAGCACAGCGCCCAGGGCGGCGGCGAAGCGGGGCGGCGGCCGCTACCGACGGGCGGAGATGGCGACGGTGCCCTCCCTGCCCCGAGCCGCCGCCACCCGGCCGCTCTCGGCCCGCAACCGCAGCCCGCCCGCCCGCCCGCCGGCACGGCGCGCCCGTGTGCCGACCCCGCGCTCGCGGCCCCGCCGACCCCCGCTCACCACCGTGCCGCGGTCCCCGCTCACCGCCGCGCCCCAGCCGCAGTGGCAGCTCACTGCGTCCCGCCCGCTGCTCCCTCCCGGCCCCGCCGCCCCGCCCCGCCGCGCAAGGACACGCCGGCTCCGCCATCGCCCGATCGCGCGGCCAATCGCGAGCGCGCGCCCCGCCCCGCCCGCCTCGCGTCACCCGCCGCGTCGCCGCGGCAACGGCCTGGCCAGCGGCGCGCGGCTCCACGCGCCATCAGGAGCGGCGAACACGCCATCGCGCCATGGCCCGCCCACCAATGGGCCGCCGCGCTCCCCACTCCGCGCCCTCTAATTGGACGGCCGTAGCGACTCATTTGCATGGCCAGTGGAGCGGTGTCGGCGTTCTCGGGCCCGTGCCGTGCCTCGCCGTGCTCTGGGACCGCGGTGCTGCCCGAACACCCCCGCGCCGCTGGTACCGCCCGGGGCACCGCGCTGGGCCGAGGCACTAAGAGTCCGCGCAGAAATGCGCAGCTCCTGCTTGTGGAAAGAGAGAAAGAAAAAAAAAAAGAGAGAGAAAAAAAGGCAATATATTTGTATTTGTGTCTTTTGGCCAGAGAGGAAGTGCAGTTTTTTGGTTCATGAAGTATTGGGAGGCTCTCAAAGACCCACCTGGATGCATGCTTATGTAACCTGCTCTACGTGACCCTGCAATGGCAAGGGGGTTGGACTAGATCGTCTCCAGAGGTCCCTTCTAGCCCTAACAATTCTGTGATTCTTTTTGGGCACCGAGTCGGGTGTGACACTACGATCGCTGCAAGACAGCGCTCCAGGCGCTGCAAGACAGCGCTCCAGGCTGGCACTGCCGTTACGTGTTTCTGGGTCTGAGCTTGCCGGCTAACACGTTCAAATACAAACCAAGAGGTTTTGAAGCAGATGATCCACATTCTGGCTTTCCTGAAGCTGCTTCTTACGTGTGGCACCTCATTTGGAAATATATTTACTAGCTCCGCATGGTGCTGTGCTGTGAAGCATCAACGTGATCCTCAAAAAACGAAGTGCTTATGAAAAGGTTTCCTAAGAACTCCACCCAGAGTAGTTATCTGTAATGAAATCATTCATGCCATTATCAGTGAGATTTCTGGACTCACTTGATAACATGCACAGCAATTGCTATAATTGCATACGGATATGACTAAGCCAAAGATAATAACAATTTGTACACAGATTCAAAAATTATGTGCAAATGATATATAATTTAAGATGACCCTTAGTATCTTAGCTCTGTTTTCCACATTTTCCATGAACACTATTTGGAGAGTACTAAAAATGCTAATTTTATCATCAAGTTCACTGGCAGCAGGAGTCACTGCAGTGATTTGGGGTTTGCAGTCTGTGTGACACCACACATGCTGTCATTAAGTTCTCACATCTGTAGCTCTTTGTGGTGGCCTGCCTGCAGCCCAGCCTTGTGCTGACAGAGGCCATGGGAGCAGACTGCCTCATTGCCCCTGCCAAGCAGATGGCAGGTAAAGCAGAGCCAGAACAGCTCTGCCTCAGGAAAATGTTGTGATTCACAGACAATCACTGAAGAGTGCTACTGCAAATACTGTCAAAGTATTGTCAACTAATAATTTGGTTATCTCAAACATGTTCCCACTGATGAGCCCATGGACATTGTGCTCAGGACAGCATGTGAAGATAGCTACTTAACCATGGCCAGGGAAGTGTTGCCAATGTAGGGACTCCAAACACAGATACAAGGCCTAGTTTAGAAAGGAGACATTGTTTACTCTGTGCAGGGTGCAAGGTGGAGTTTCCTCAAAATTTTACACTATATATACATTTTAGAAACCATAGAAGTCACAGTTCATTGGCTACAGGTTACCTCGTTTGCTTATTAATTAGTAGTCTATCATATCTTGGTTAAATGATTCTCTTGCTTCTCATGCTCAGACTTTCTCTTCTTTCAAGTTGGTGGGTTTCTTGAGTCATTGGTCCATGAGTGAGTGGTTGCAGTCTTTGACAGTGGACTGCCAGACTCAAGAGGCTATGAACTGGCACAGATCCCTTCCCTTACAAAGGGCATGGAGACCTGTGGTGCCAGCAAGGTGATCAGAAACACAGCAGGAGTCGACAAGTCAACAGGAACGTTTAGTCAGGAACTGTAGCAATAGGACAAGGAGTAATGGGCATAAATTGAAAGAGGAGAAATTTAGGTTAGATATTAGGAAGAATTAGACAGTGGAACAGGTTGCCCAGGGAGGTTGTGGATGCCCCAGCACTGGCAATGTTCAAGGCAAGGCTAGATAAGGCCTTGAGCAACCTGGGCTAATCGTCCTTGCCACTGGGTGTTGGGACTGGATGATCTTTAAGGTCTATTCCAACCCCTTATGATTCTAAGACCCCAGACTATAAAAGCCCAGGTGGCCCTTCATTCTGGGTCCCTCCTTTGAGGCTATGAGGCTTCTCACTGATAAGGCCAGACCCTGTTTCACAGCCCCCCTCCTCATTCTCTATAACTCTCTGGGCAAATAAGCGTTTCTGACTCTTGAGATATCAGCATCAGGAGTGCACAAACGCCTAGAAGTGAGCCTTTTTAACCGCACAGAGCACGGTGTATGTTAGTGCTCTGCGGCTCTACGGAACGACGTGCGCCCGGGGCCGCCCGACGGGCAGCGAGGCGCCTCCACAAGATGGCGGCCGCCTCGGAGTGCAACGGGTGGCCGCCTGAGGAGGTGCCGGGGCAGCGCCGGGGCCAGCCCACGGTGGAGCGGCGGGTGTGCGGCGGGGACACCGACACGGACGGCGACGAGACCGTCGTGGAGGGCTCTGTGACGGAGAGTGATGTGGAGGAAGAGGAGTTCTGTAGGAGGAGGTAGTAAGGCAGATGGCTCTGAGCGGCACCTGCCTATGCGAGGGCGGCGGCAGGTGTGGCGCGCCCGCGGAACAGTAGGGGGCCCGCGGCTGAGGGGCCGCTCCGGGGATGAGGGTTTTGCCCTCTTTTTTTTTTTTTTTTTCCTCCCCCCCTCTTCCTTTCTGTATTCAGAGCCGTTTTGTATGCCTTTAGACTTAGTGGTTCTTAGCTCCACTGATGGCCTCGGAGCTTGTGCCTCTGGACCCTCCTGAGTAACATTTCAGTCCGCAGAAGTGAAATGTCCCGGAAACCAACTCGGAGGAAATAAACACTATTAAATGCAGTTTGTGCTGATACTGTTTCCCTACAACCTTGACTTGATACCATTTTCATTCCATTTTCTCTCATTTAAGACATGGCAAAGGATTGAAAACACCTGCGGCTGCACCTCTTTGTGCTGGCTTTGTGGCCTGGCATTTCTTGGAAATACATAAAGCAGTGATGTGCTTCAATAGCTATGATTTTCTATGCAGAAAATCAGGTATATCCCTGCAGTTTGGGGGTCCTTTGCTGTTGGTGTTAGCACTTGCCCAGTGGTGTCCCAGTGTCAGAGGCTGGGATGAGCACCTCTCTTAAACTGAGGGTTTAAGAGAACTTAAACTCTGACCTGCCCTTTGAGTTCATAGGACTGTAATGCTTAATGACCTTTTATTTAATTTATTTTTCAAAGGTTGGCTTTTCTTAATGTGGACATAGCTTTAACCACTGAGATGAGTATTACTAAAGGTAGGACGGATTCTTTTTTTCAGTTTGTTTATTTTTTTAAACTGTTGCTTTAGATATTGCCTGAGTCTATGGTATTTATGCTTCAGTGCTGCATGAAGTTCATTCTTAGGAATATATGTGCTCTTTTACATCTATAATTTTAGCTCGTATTTTAGAAGATTCTTCAACACTTTTTTAATATTTGAAAATTAGGTTTGCTCTTGACTTCTCTATTCTTTCTGTGTACTATAACTGAGGATCCCTGTCTTGGGAAGTGTATGAGCTATATATAGGGATATCCTTTTTATTTACATGTATGTGTTTGTATGTATGTGTTTGAACAGAATAAAATAAATGGAATCTATGCACATAATAGCTATATGTAACTATAGTTGCTTATAGTATTTTTAAAAACCCTTATTGTTGTTAATATATCCATTCTCTGTAGCATATGAACTTTGGGTAGGTATATTTAAGTGCATTATTTTAAGTGTATCATTAAATTACTTTCAGCATAAATGATTGCATGCTCATTTAAAGTCTTAAAATCTTCCATAATAATACCCATAACGCATGCTGCATGAGCAAGCATGTCTTAGTTACATAATAGTTTCACTGGTACCTCCTTTACATTTTTATATAATATACTTGACTTGCATACTGTAGGTTTTATTTCAGCAATATTTTGGACTGACTATTCTTTAAGTGACACATGGTGTTCTTCCAGATTTTTTTTATTGTTTGTCTTTTTGCCAATCTGAAGATCTGAGTGGACTGTCGTTTTTTATCAGCGTACTCTGAGTTAATATAAATCTTACCTAAAGCTCATTGGAATCTGAAGAAACTTTTCCAATGGCTATGTTTTCCTGATGCTGAACCTTTTATAGTTGTTTAATAGTTTTGACTGAGGAAAGAAACATCATCCCATTTTGAATTTACCTGTGATTATCCACTGGAATTAAGACCTGGCAATGTCTGTTTGACTCAAATTCTTCAGTTTGTGGAGTTAGGCATTCGTCTGAGGGTTGAGCGAGGGGGTTTTTTCCTTGCAACTGTAATAGATTTCTGCCTGCCACATGTTGTATTCAGTAAATTGGAATTAGAATTTAATTATTCATGGGTTTGTACATACTTGTGTATTAGCAATTCGGGG